GTGTTAATTTTTTCTCGTGTTCTTCTAGACATCTGTGTTGAGAGTTGGAAGTCATTAAAGCAGACTGATAGATGTTTTTAGCTCTTCAACTGGTAGGACATAAACTTGTGCATCCAGTCATTAGAGACACTCTACAGATAACTGCTTATTTATTATCTCCCACATTTATCTGACCATGAAAACTGTGTCACCAAGGTCTTCTGCTTGCAGCTTCTACATATAAAGAGCTTGGGAGTCATCACTACCACCCTCACAATAAGGAAAAGCTAGACAAGCTGAAAAACAAACATTCTTGGACACATCACAGAACTGAGGTCATAGGTCCAAAAACCATGCCCCAATCTGGAGAGACAGGTGCATCCAGTCATGGCCAAGATCTGCTCACTTGGAGCAGAAGCTGGCAGGGCCACGGACCAAGAGGAACATCTACGCGATAACTAACTGATGGACTGTGGAGGCTGCTCCTCCTGCCCCGGCCCCTTGTAGCTTTCCCATCTGACGTAGGGAGAAAAAACATAGGCAACAGGGGTCAAGGCTTCAAGGAAATAGACTGGGGATGCTACAGTCAGGGAAAAGAGTCAGGGATGGGCAAAGGGTGGGTTTAATACCACACTTGTGAAGTCCAAGCCTGGAGAAACCGGCCCAACAACGGGCTGAGATTCACAACTTGGCTTCAAGATGGCTGACCAGAGGTACCTGGTACTTGCCGCCTCCACAAAGTAGAACCAAGATAGCGAATAGATAATCACTCTTTGAATAGATCACTTAAGGGAAAACATTGGCATTCCACAGAGAAGTGACAAGAAATATCTAAAGGAAAGAAGGAAAGGGCTGCCTGCTCAGCATGATCAGCTGAGGTCTTGAAGAGGCTCCCCAATGTGGGGAAAGGGTGAGTGAGTGACCCCCGCAGTCCACATTCCCACTGCAGACTTCTGCAGTTTTTCCACAGGAGAGACCCTTGGCCCACACGGGCCCGAGACTAACATAGAGACCTGCCAGGAGACGGTGCACTGCACTGCTCCAGTGAGGGCGCTCACAACGGATCCCACACCCCTGCACCGAGTCCTAAGCAGCGACAGCAAGGGGCCATCTTGAGAGCCTGCACTGCAACAGACTGCATCCAGCCCTAGCGCCCAACAGCCCCTGCATGTCCACATCACTGGAACCCCAGTGACACCCCCACAAGCAGCAGGGCACTGCTGCAGGCTGCTGCCACCACTGGCACCAACCCCGCTGCCCTCAGGAACACGGGCACTATGAATTTAAAAGTGCTCTAAGGAAAGGTTAGCTTGTTTATATAGCTGAAGCATGTGCTCCTCAGCCATCTGGTTATAATTGCTGCCACTGAAAGAAACCCCACCTTCCCAAGGAGCAGGGGCGCAACAGTCACTGCCGCCCCCACCCGAGTATTCCACCAGGCGATTGGGGATCACCCGGCCCCCTCCAACCACCGCCAGCACCCACATGCACCACTGAGGGGCCCGAGGACACGCCTGCTTGGCCTAGCTCTACGCCCTTAAGTGCCCGAGCACACTGGCTGGGGGCCTGTGGATTGCCCTGCCCCATCCACCGCTGTTGGCACTTGAGCACTCTTCCCAGGGACCTGAGGACAAACCCACCCAACCTGCCACTACTTCACATCTGGCACCCACTTGCACATGTCACCTGTGGGCCTGGGCACTGGCCCTCCCAGCCTTATGCAGCCACTGCCAACATGAGCATGTTACCACTTGGGAGCCAGAGGATTGTCCCAACACTGCTACTGCCCTTACCCACACCATGCCCACTGCCCAGGGGCCTGAAGACCCACTCACTTGTCTGGCCCACCACTACTACTGCCAGCACTCAAGCAAAACACCTGGAGGCCCAAGGATCAGCCCACCTGGACTTACTAATACTGGTGCCAGCATATGTCACCCCGAGGCCCAAAGACAGTCACACTCAGGCAGCTGGTGCCACCTCTGGGGAATGAAGACTGGCTCACTCTATCTTCAGCAAAACTTTACCACATCCTCCACTAACCACCACACCCTAAACCACTGAAGAAATCACAGATATTACTGATATTGTTTATAGCCAAAGAAATCATATGGAGACTACACTCCTATGTGCAACCTGAGTCAAAGCCAAAGTGCCCCATCCAACCAGCATCACAGATTTATACTCAGGAAAATATCCTCCCTATGAAAAGAAATTGAAAAAATTAGAAGAAGCAACTGTTATACCAGATGTGTAGACAGCAACATAAAGACACAGGAAATAGCAAAAAGCAAGAAAATATGACACCTCCAAAAGAATACAATAATTCTCCAGTCACAGATTCCAAATGAAAGAAATGTAGGAAATCTCAAAGAATTCAAAATAATGATATTAAATAAACTCAGTGAGATAAAAAGAAAACTCAGAAAAAGAATACAAAGAAATCAGAAAAACAATTCAAGATATGAATGGGAAAATTACCAAAGAGATAAATATAAAAAAGAACCAAACAGTAATTGTGGAACCTAAAAAAGCACTGAATGAAATAAAAGAATATATTTGGAAGCTTCAACAACTGACTAGCAGAAGAAAGAATTTCAGAACTTGAAGACAGGTCTCTTGAAATAACCCAGGCAGATAAAAATAAAGAAAAAGAGAATAATGGAGAATGAACAAAGCCTACATGACATATGGGACACCATAAGGCAATCAAATATTCGACGTTTTGGAGCCTCAGAAGGCAAAAAGAAAAAGGAAGGGTTTAGAAAACCCATTTAATGAAACAATAGCTGAAAATTTCCCAAGTCTAGCACAAGAATTTAGACATCCATAAACAGGAAGCTCAGAAATCCTCAGCTAGAATTCAAAAAGGTCTTCTCCATGGTACATTATAGTAAAACTGTCAAATGTCAAAGACAGGGAGAATTCTAAAAACAGCAAGAGAAAAGTGTCTAGTCACTTACAAGGGAAGCCCCATCAGATTAACAGTGGATTTCTCAGCAGAAACCTTACAGGCCAGGAGAGAATGGGATGATATATTCAAAGTGCTAAAAGAAAAAAAAAAAAAAAAAACTTGTCAGAAAAGATACTATTAATATGCCCAGTAAAGTCATCCTTCATAAATGAAGGCAAAATAAAGTCTTTTCAAGACAAGCCAAAGCTGAGGGAATTCATCACCACTAGACTGGCCCTGCAAGAAATGCTTAAAGGAGTCCTACACTTGCAAGTGAATGGATATTATCTACCATTATGAAAACACATAAAAGTATGAAACTCACTGGTAGAGCAAATATACAATTGAGGAAGAGAAAAGACTCAAATACTACAGAAAACCACCAAACCACCATGATAAACAATAAGAGAAAGAAACAAAGAATAGACAAATCAACCAAAATCAACTAATAAAATAACAGGAATATGCCCTCACATATCAATAATAACCTTGAATGTAAACAGATTAAACTTACCACTTAAAAGACAGAGACTAGCTGTATGGTTAAAAAAAATTACCCAACTATATGCTAGCTACAAGAATCAATCATAAAATGCTCAAAACTAGAGGAAGACAGGGAAACAGTGGAGAAGAGAACTAATCCAACAAACGGATGAGTAGATATTCATTCAATTACATCAATTGTTATTTTAAGTGTGAAAGGTCCTTCTGATGGCAAGGATCACTTAACTTCCTTCTGACTTGTATTCTGAACTAGTGTTTTAGGTGCTGATAAACAGAACATCAAGTGAACAGTTTTGATTAGTTCAAAGCAAGTCTCTTTACCTCAGGAGAAACAGAAAAAGGATATTAACATCTAGTGATCCAAGCAGCATGTTTCCTAGTTAATTCAAAAACCTGGTTGACTCTTTGTACATTGGTGGTCAAATTAAGGTTGGTATGCACTCTCATTTCACATGGCATTTATTAAGTTTATGAGACATAATATTTATCAAATTATCAATTTTAGTATGTGCCTGGGACAGAAAACACACAGCAATTAGCGTACTGGCAAAAGTCTCCTCTCACACCTTAGGGTGTGAATTTCTTGCTACTCAGTCCAAAGTCAGAGTCATTCTACTTAGCCTTACTACCATAGGCAGAGATCTCTCACTGCATACTTACTGAAGAGTTTATGAAAGTGCACAGTATTGGTGGGGGTGGGGGAAGGGTGGTGAGTTAGACTCCCATTAGATTTTCACCACTTACCAGTTGCAAATTATTTAATGTATCTGAGTCACCTTGGTATTGGTAGTAGGTAGACAGCAAGGGACTTCTGGCCCTTCTAGGGACAAAGGCAGGCACCTAAGCAATTGCTACATCTGGGGAGGAGGGAACACCCTACCAATCTGCCAATCAGAACTTAGCACCCCAACTGCAAAAGAATGCAGAGGATTCTCTAGCCCATAGGTCAAGCAGCACAGGTACAATGGAGTTCAGAAGGTGATATAGGACAATCTAAGGCTAGTTATCATATCATTCGCTTTAATCTACATTGCGGTTCACCCTCCCAAATGGGCTTTCAGAGAGGCTCATGGGAGATCTGCATGCATAGCAAGACTCAGGTCATATATAACTCCCAACTGTCCATCAAAGTGGTTGGAGGGTGACTCTGATCCACAGGAGGGCCCAATCCAGGCACTATAAAACAACACCCCAGACCATACACAAGGCCTTTTTTGTTATAAGGGGTCCATTCATCGTCTGTGTTAAATGAATCTTGCTCTTGCTCTATAATACTATCTTTTTTCCCCTTAATAAACCTCATTACATGCTTACCTTACTTTCCGGGTGACTGGCCATTCTTTGGCCAAGAGCACACCAAGAAATAATATTGTCAGACTGCTGACCTGACAAAAATACATTTTAAGGAACCGCAAGAGGAAAAACAAAACCAAGTTAATTATCAAAAATCCAACATTGAACATACGAAGTCAGTGAAGAAATTCCGAAACCCATTTTCTATCTTGCTTTAATAGTTCACTTATGGCTTTTGTGAAGAATGTGAACACACTAGAAATAATAGCCATTTATTTTAAGTATCAGTTTTTATTAAAAAGTGCATTTTGATTAATTTATGATCTAGGTAAGCTATAAGATATCAGTATATTCTCTGGAATAATAACTTTACAAAGATTTAAAACAAACAAAATTTTAAAAGCCTTTTTATTTCCTTCACCATTATTGTTTTACGATACAAATATCACCTTGTGAATACACAAAAAAACCCTACGGAAGATAATTCTGCTGCACGTAAAATACAGAATGGATATATATACTTCTTCATTCTTAAAAAACTATTTTGTTCTCCACGTTGGCAAGTATAGAATAGAATACTTCCCCAAACATACATATGTTAGGAGTAAAACTTAGAGTTACATGCAGTTTCTGCACAAATATATTTTAAAGAAATAGATCTCTTTTTTGTTGTTCATCAACAAAATTGTCATGAGAGTATGGATAACTAATTTATAGCTTTCAAGTTTTAGGTAAGTGATCATTTTCAAAACTCTCTGTTAAAAAAAGATATTCATGGCTGTTTTCATTGAGTAGTTAAAATTGAACTACCAAATAGACAATAAAATAATTTAAGTGGTACATGTCATTGCTTCCTGTTCACAATATGTGAACAGGCTCTGATGCTCCAATTAACATCCTCATTCTTTAATTCACTGCAACTTTAAAACTGTAAGCAGTCTTCTGATTTAATTTAGCTATAAATGCAAAATTTAGTAGTGTATACATACATTTATATTTTCTTGGAATACTTTATTTTAAATAAAAACATTTAAGATTGCCTACTGACCATACAATCAAGACAAGAAAGGCACTAGAAACATAGACAAATTTCTCTCCCAAGACGCATTTTTAAATTTTAACTCTCTTCTCTCTGACATGTAAAAATCTTTAAATTTGGTTTCATAACATCATTTTGAAAAATAAAGTTAGGAAATACTTAGAAAATCACTTTATAACAGAATCTTTTTTTTTTTTTTTGCACTTTTTGACACACTGTCTCTGCTGATTTTACAAAACCCAAAGTTACCAAACCTTTCTGTGTCTGTCATTTTTATTTGAATATCGGTGCAACAGGTAGAAAGATTTCAGAATCAAACCCCATTCAGGTACTTAGAAACCTTCATAGAGACATTTGCTAGAAAATGGCTTACAGCCCAATCTTTGGGGCAAGAGATATGAAAAGTATGTTTTCCCAAGAAAATAATACACTTTATTTCCAGATGTGACTGGAAAGACCAGAACTTATGATATAAAAGCTTACATTTATGCTGTTGCATCATATACAAAGGAACGTGGTGGTTGTGGGTTATGTAAATCCCAAACTTATGAACAGGAAATGTGTACAGTGCATGATAGGTTAAATTTTTCTTTATTGTTGTCCAACTCAGGTCCTTTGGAGAGAAAAAAAGATCACAGTGCTGACCAGGTAACTCAATAGGTTAAGTCAAGGTAACCATTGAAAGATAATAGGATTAGGGAGGTGTTTATTTTATGGCATCTTCTCTCATGGAGTTCTTAGCACTTCGGACGATTCGTCTTTCCCCCACTTTGTACAGCTGTTATGTGTCGTTCACCAGCCGGCTGTATTTGACTTGCCTACCGAGGTGGACGACTGGCCAGGGGAAAGGCCAATGGTAAGATCGAGGTACGATTCCTTGGACATTCTTTTCAAAGTACTGAAATGGCCTGTACCACCACACCCTGGCCAGGAGGTTCATCTGGGAAGCTTCCTTTAGCACCTGAGACAACAAAGAAACACACATACTTTTCTCACAATCTTTTACTTTAAGTTCAAATACTTCCCATGTTAAAATTCCCAAAGGTCCCCAGACTGGCCCCACGCCCACCCCACATCCCAGCTTCTCTCTCACAGCACCATTCTGCACTCTGCACTCGTCTGCAAGCTGGGCTGCACCTCAGTACAAAAAGCACCCCGGTTCTGGGAGGGAAGGGAGAACTGTGGCTCACTTGTCTCTTGCTTATCAATAAACACCTCAGCCTCGTTTAGCTCTTTACTCTTTTACACTAAAAATGGGAAAACTTAATTAACTGTTGTTAAGTAGTAAGCTAGTGATGGGCCCAGGACAGAGAGAAGAGGGTAGAAATGCATGTCAAGCAACAGGTGGATGGACACAGGCTTAGAAAATACTTTCCATGGACAATGAGAGTGTGATACTTGTTCTAGAAGGAAGCAATCTCCTATGTCATTATATTAATATACTTTTCTCATCTCCATTCTGAAGAGCATCGATGTCACAAAAGACAACACAATCTTAGCTGACTACCCCTAAGGCAGAGAAGCTCAAGACATCCACGTATTCTTGGTATCCCCTCCTCTCCCTACCCTCCACCCCCAAACCAGCACTGCCAGCCCAGGAGCAACAGAAGCCAGAATCAAATGGGGGCAAAACTCACTTGCTGATTGGCCATAGTGTGATACCACCAGAAGAGTCTCGTGGTGATGTAATATGCCACCACCACGTCCACAGTGTAGTGGTCATGCGCTAAGAGGATACAGAAGATTCCAACTACGCTGAGAAGCCAGCAGATCCAGTGATACCACCAGAGCCGTCGAGGGGAATCTGAAAAGACAAGAAATTGTGATATCCCATTATTCAAGTAATACTAAAGGCACCTGTACCCATGCCTCTAATACTGCTTCTGAATCAATTACCTTTGGTCTTTCCCTCCAAAAATAGATCTCTTGGGCTAGCAAATCTAAGGGCTTTTGCTTATCTGTAACTAAGGTTAGAATAGAAACAACTTTTTATGAAGTGATTATCCAGCAATAGTAATTCACATTTGTTTATTACATGTTTCATACAATCATAAACACAGTTTAAAAGATGAATCTAATCAAATAAGGATAGGTTAATGCAATATGCTCCATTTAAAAAAACTGTCCATTGACATTTAATTAAATTTACTTGTGGCTAATCTGGGTTAATGCTCTATACAAAAATCAATACCTATTAGTCCAATGACCCTTACATAAGGATTAAGCAGTTATAAATGATACATCTGTCTCATCTGCTTTCCAAGTTCTGCAAGTAAGATTAGTACACACTAATCTGAAAGTCTTTGGGATTTCCTCTTCTCAAATACAAATAGTTTTCTTTTGAATCCAAATGCCTGATAATTCTAGTCCAAGCGCTCCCCAAAAGTAGGACAGTGTCAGATAAACACTTGTCTGTACCCTCATTTAGGAAATCACCCACGGGAAACACCAAAATCCCTATTAGTGCAGGCCTTTCTGCCTTGCATTCTCAATGAATAGAAATTCATTCCTCTTGTTGCTTCTTACATAAAAAAAAAAAAAAAAAAAAAAAAAAAAAAAAAATTCACAGGGTCTGAAATTTTAGGCAAAACATTTGAATGCAATCTACCCTTCCACATCACGCAGGCTTTTAATGAATTCTCAAGAGGTCCAAGAATCTGTCATTCATTCAACCAATATTCACTGAGCATCTTATATGCCTGGGACAGGCATAGCTCTAGCACCTGGATCAATTAACAAATAGGCAAAGAGCTTGCCTTTGTGGGGAGATCCCTTCCAGTAAGCAACAGAGACAAGAGATAATAATTATAATAAATAAGGAAATTATACACTATGTTAGTGTATAATTAAATATGAAATATCGATTTTGTATTAATAGTTTATGTCTTAAACAAGAAGCAGTACAATTAATCAAAGTATGTGCCTAAACTATCAACACAGTTTTGTCATTTTAATGGTAGCTTGTTTATGTCAACAGTGAAGAAGTCTGGAGAATGAACAGCTTGTTAAGAATTGAATATTTTTCCTTGTAAGAAGTGGTCCAAAGTCTGCAAGAAGTGGTAGTCAGTTGGTGCAAGGTCTGGTGAATGTAGTGGAGTTTCTAAGCCTAGCCTCTGCAGTTTGAACAATGTTGTTTGTGCGACATGTGGTTAAGCACTGTCTTGTAAGAAGATTGGCCTGTCTCTATTGATCAATCTTGGCTGCTTCATCTCAAGCATCCTCATCATTTCATCTATTGGTTGTAGTAGGCATCTGCTGTAATCGATTGACCAGGTTTCATGCAGCTGTAGTGAATAATAACAGCACTGGACCACCAAACAGACACCATTAGCTTTATTTTGGACTGTGTTTCAGCATTTTATCTTTATCCAACCATTGTGTCGAATGCTTGCAATTGTCAAAAAGAATCCATTTTTCATCACATGTGATAATACGCTATAGAAATGATTTGTCTTTATGTCATGACAGCAAAGAAAGGCAAGTTTTGAGATGATTTTTTTGATGCTGTTTAATTTATGTGGTCCATCCAACTTTTTTGTGTTGCCAATTTGTTTTAAATGACCTAATATAGTTGGCATGGTAACATCAAACCTTGTTGTTAATTTATACATACGATGAGATGGATTTGCTTCTACCAAAGCTTTGAGCTCATTATTATTCACCTTGGTTTCAGGTTGCCCACGTGGATCATTTTTAAGATTAAAATCACCAAAATGGAACTTTTCAAATCATTGAAATCAAATCATTAGTCACATCTTTTTCAAACACTTTGTTGATATTTTGAGCTGTCTGCACAGTATTGGTTCCACAATGGAACTCATATTTGAAAATAACACAAATTTTTGACGTATCTGTGGTTTTACAAAAATTGTTTTAAAAAAACTTTGAAAGATAATCACAAGTCCAACTGTGTGTTTGAAGGACTCAGGATGTACCTTCACAATAAAAACAAAACAAGCAGCATCAGAGTGAAATGACAAGGATATTAACTGCCAAACTTAGTACTTTAGGAAATCAGACATTTCATAAATGTAACAACCTAATAAAAAAGATGAGTTGGATAAGAGGGAGCAGGAACAGAGGGAGTGAAGGGCAGTTTATAATTTTAAATGGCAGTTAGTGTACGGATATATCTCAACGATAACTGTATTTGATACCTTAACAATACAACAAGTAGCAGCTACCATTCACTCTCTGCACAGCTCCATTGGTGCCCACAGATGCCATCTATTTTAATTTTAATTTTTATAACCTCTTCCCCCCCTGTGAAGTAGAGATGAGAAAACTAAAAACTCAGAGATGTTAAAGGTTTTCCTCAGGGTCACAGAGCTAGTAAATGACAGCACCTGGATTCAAAATCAGCATTTTACAACCTAATGCCTCTGTGTTTCCCCATATAGTCCACTGTCTTACCATCAAGAAGCAAAAACCTTGATCCCATTAAAGGATTTCAGGTATTGGCCAGCAGGGGGCAGGCTGCTGACACTTGTCCTACATGGTTCCCACTTTCCACACCCAGTTAGTTATATCCTGGTACAAGGGCTAGACACGCCCTTATGATTCTGAACACACATTGCTAGAATTCACTATATTTGGTCACAAACTAAGCACAAGCAGAAGAACATCCATTCTCCCTTTTCTATCTCAATAACCTGAAGTGTATCTTTTCTTCCCTTCTAGTACTCCCTTATCTTAGTTCGGGGGCGGGCAACCTGCCACCTTAAGCCACCTAAGGGTGGCCTTCTAGGTCCTTAAGTGTGCCCTTTTGACTGAATCCAAATTTTACAGAACAAATCCTTTTATTTTTATTATTTTTGTTTGACTTATATTTTTATTTTTAAAATGAATATATTTAAAATACCAAAGAATAAAATAAGTTTCAACAAAATAATCCTCTCAGATTGACTGGCACAATTAGATCATTATTAGTAAGCCATAAGGGCTGAAGTGACAGCTGCTACGGTCATGATTTAGCTCTAAACTTCCTCCACCTGATTGGCGCTACCACAACACGAGACTAGTTAGGGAGAGTTTATGGGGGTCCAGTAGGCCAGTCTGTTATCAGCTTTTGACAACGGTGCCTTATGTTTCTATTTGAAGTGGAATTTGTGAATAGTTGCACAACTCAACAGTATTTCTTAATTCTGTCTGCTTAAAAGCTCATCCGTTCAAAGAAGACTAAGAGAACGCTGAAGGAGGAAAACAGATTTAATAAGGATTGGGAATTGCAATATTATCTTGTTTCTGCTAAAGATAAGATGATTTGCTTGCTTTATTGCAATATCAACATTAAAGAAATTCAGTGCTCATCAGCATTACAACACTCACAAGGACCACAGATATTTTAAATTCCAGGGAGAGGCATGAAAGGCTATACTGCAGAAATTAAAAGATGTAAAGCAAAAGCAAAGATAATTCTTTCAAGCAGCAATAATACCTAAAAATAATGCCACCCTGAAGAACTTATAAAGTAGCTTATATAACTGGAGAAAAAAAGGAAGCCATTCAGTGATATAGAAATTTTGAAAGAATGCATGGTCAAAGTTGTAGAACACTTAGACTCTGATAACATTTCCAAGTACAAACAACTGCCTCTTTCAAGGAGAACCATAACTGATAGGCAGCATGAATTAGCCTTCAACTTAACAGAACAACTTCATGCAATACTTCAAAAGGAAAATATGTATTACACAATCTCTTTGTGTGAATCAACTGATACTACTGACTCAGCGAAGGTTTTATACTTCATTTGGGTCATAACAGATTTTCTTTTTTACGAAGAGTTACTTGCTTTGGGTACTCTTGTGAACAGAATATGGGGAATAGATATCTCAACAACTTTCAAGATAAATGTCATGAAGTTGGACTGAATTTGGTAACTTTAGTGAGTGTATGTATAGACAGTGCACCTTCCATGATAGGAAAACATAAAGGGTTCATTGCACAGATAAAAAAAGTATTAACAGGCCAGGCTCAGTGGCTCACGCCTGTAATCCTAGCACTCTGGGAGGCCGAGGCGGGCAGATTGCTCAAGGTAAGGAGTTCGAAACCAGCCTGAGCAAGAGCGAGACCCCGTCTCTACTATAAATAGAAAGAAATTAATTGGGCAACTAATATATATAGAAAAAATTAGCCGGGCATGGTGGCGCATGCCTGGGAGGCTGAAGCAGGAGGATTGCTTGAGCCCAGGAGTTTGAGGTTGCTATGAGCTAGGCTGACGCCATGGCACTCACTCTAGCCTGGGCAACAAAGCGAGACTCTGTCTCAAAAAAAAAAAAAAAAAAGTATTAACAGATCCAGATGCTCTCATTTCATTGTATCTTGCATCAGCAATATCTCTGTGCTAAAGCTTCTATTTTAAGTGACACTTTGTAAGAGTGGCAATTGCAACGGGGCATCGTCAGTTTCCTAACGTGCCAAAGTTGAATGATGAAGTATTTGGTGTGGATTTGCCGTATCATTCTGAAGTGCGTTGGCTATCACAGGGATAGGTATTGGCCAAAATTTTATCTCTGCAAGAACAGATAAATTTCATGAAGAACAGAATTGGCAATTTGAATTATTGAAAGCAGATTTCTACAGGAATGCAGCATTTCTGGGTGATATCACATCAAATCAAAATGACTTGAATATTTCTTTGCAAGGTAAAACTAAGATTATATATGACATGTGGCAAAAAGTCCAAGCATTTAGAAAACTATCTTTTTTCAAAACACTTCTTCAAAAGGAAATTTTGGATGAACATTTTCCTCAGTTAGCAAAGGTCACTGATAAGCAGGAAAATATATGACTATATGATAATATATGAATCATTTGAAGAATATGCAGCTATTATAGACCTATTAATTGGAGAATACAATGAAAGTTTCACTGACTTTGAGAATCATGACATCATACTCAAATTAGCATTTCAGCCTCATATAGTTGGATCACCAAGGCACCTAAAGAACTACAGATGGAAATGATTGAACTCTCAGTAGATGACATTTGAAAGTCATTGTTTGCTGCTAAGAAAGATCCAATTGAAATATGGAAAAATGCAACAGAATGTCCACACCTTCGGCAACATGCCCCAAAAATGCCTTCTTGATTTTCAACCACTTATTGCTATGAATCTACATTCTCCTACCTAACCCAAATCAAGATGCCCTTAAGGTCACAAATGACTGATACCCATCTAGACAATCAACTGAAACTGTGGACCTCCGGGCTGCAACCAAATATTCAAATGCTTTCCAACAAAAAGCAGACATAACAAAGTTATTAAAAGATTAGTTAACTTTAAAATTAAATAGTTTTCATTTCTTGAAATTATTAAGTACAGGGTAGTTAGATTTTTACAAAATAATGTACATTTTAAATTATATCTAATTAAAGTTTCTTAAATGTGGCCTTATTTGATTACAGCTAAGCTAACGCAGCCTTCCAACATGAAAAAGTTCTCCACTTCTTAGTTTTACCAAGACCAAAAGTGGGCTTTTGCTCAGTCCACCACCTCTCCTCAATACCTCCACAACCCATCCTGCTGACTCTTCTCTGTTCCTCTCTCAGGGCCCTTCACTTCTCTCCATTCTCGATGCCGTCATGGTAGTTCATGCCACTACCATGCTTTTCCTTGATTGTGGCAGCAGCCGATCTCCTAACTTTTCTCCTGGTCTCCAGTCTTGCCCCTCTCCAATCCATCCTGCAAGCTGCTGCCAGAGTGGTTTCTTCCTCTCAAAAGGACAAATAAGATGACATTGTTCCCTGGTCACAAGCTCTCAATGAGTACCCCATGTCCATGAGATGGAAGTTCAGATTCCTTCTGGTGGCTTAAGGCTCCCTTCACGATCTGATTCCTACCTACCTGTCCATTCTCATCACTCATTATTACCCCAGCTCTGAATTCCAACCACATCAACTTCCAGAAGTACTATGTGCTCCCAAGATACCTCCAGAGGGCAAAGCATCTCCCACCTCTGTGATACCACAGCAGCCTGGTTTTACTTATCGTTTTTCATGGAAACTCCCTGTATAATGCTCATTAGACTGTTTCTAACAATAAAATATTGAGGACAACAGAATTTTCTGTAAGTAGAGAAATGAATAAATAATGTATGGTTCATTTATAGTACTGAAATATTAACATTAATTAATGTGAAATAACCAGACTCTTATGTCTCAAAAACATAATTTGAAAGTAAAAAGTAGCAGAAGAATATATATACACCATGATACCATTTATGTAAACTTAAAAAGCCCCACAAAACAATAATATACAAAAACATGGATGGAAATGACACAGGAAGATGAGAGATGGAAGGAATGAAGAGGCTTTAATTATATATTAACATTTCATTTCCTTTTTTAAAGAGTTATTTGAAGCAAATATGGCAAAATGCTAATATATGTTAAATCTAAGCCATGTATATAGGGCTATCTGTGATAATATTTTGTCTGTGTTTCACAATAAAGTATTTCAAGTACATTTCTTTTTTTTGAGACAGAGTCTCACTTTGTTGCCCAGGCTAGAGTGAGTGCTGTGGCATCAGCCTAGCTCACAGCAACCTCAAATTTCTATGCTCAAGCGATCCTCCTGCCTCAGCCTCCCGAGTAGCTGGGACTACAGGCATTCGCCACCATGCCCAGCTAATTTTTTGCATGTATATTTTTAGTTGGTCAATTAATTTCTATTTTTAGTAGAGACAGGGTCTTGCTCAGGCTGGTTTCGAACTCCTGACCTCGAGCAATCCGCCCGCCTTGGCTTCCCAGAGTGCTAGGATTACAGACAGGAGCCACCGCACCGGACCCGGCCCTCAAGTACATTTCTTAAGGGAAGTTTCCCATTTAGCGTCTCCTCTACCCCTGTGTCCGTGTTCTTTGTGAGGGCAGAGATGTGCTCTGATCCGTCACCACACCCTCAAACCTGTAGCATAATGCCACATGTTGACAAACGACTATGGAGACACCGATGACCTACCATCATCCACTCCTCCCTGACCTGGATTTCTGTGCTCGTATGAGATTTCCTTCTGGCTCTTTATGCAGCTGTACGACTGGCTCCTAACGCACCCTGCGCTCGAAACTGCCCCCACCCCAAGGCTACAGCTGATGCTCCAGGAAACAAGACACCTCCTTCTCAAGAAGAGCCGCTATGTCCTCCCACAAATTCCCTGGGTGCAGCTGCATCCCAGGCATGGTGGTGAGATGTGGCTGCTGCCCCCCTGACGCCTCCAGCCTTGCTTGCTTCAGTGGACTCCAGCAAACGTGATTTATCAGAGGACCAGAGATCACAGGACATGGCAGGTGAGGAAATTATAACAGAAGCTGTTTTAAACTTACACTCTTTGATAAACAAGTAGGTGAGTGTTAGCATGACCGTGTGGCCGCTGTACAGATAGTCCCCACACATGTTGTGGGAGCCAGTGATGGACAAGCCGCCTCCAGCAATGAGCTTCATTATTCTCCGCAGTTGAGCTTCCCAGTCTCCAAAAAGCTGGTGGGAAAAGAGAAGAGATTCATTATTAGCCCACGTGAAAGTGTGCAATGATTACTATCCATAACCAGAATTAAGCTTATATTAAAATCCCCATGATCAAGTTTACCCATTTAACATTTACCATTCCATAGGTAGGTAGCCTTTTGAAAATGTATAGTCCTACAGACGAATCATGTGGCTTCAGAACTTTTCTTAGACTCTAGCGCTTTTTAAAGCACATTTTTGTAGATGTTTCCCTTTTTTTTTTTTTTTAATCATACTGACAGAGAAAGACTAGCTCTATCTGACTAACTGAATAACTTATCAGAACTGCCATTTGGAGAAAAGAAAATTTAAATCTCTAGTCTAGGAAAAATTTAGAGATGTATTTCTGGCACGTTTGGCCTAGAGGACAATTATTCTACTAACTTAGCTAGAACAGCAGGAGACTGGACAGTCAAACACATGAATATTTTTGGTATGCAGATGTTTAGGGGCCAAATTGGAACAAGGGATGTACTTTTAATCTTCAGAAATTATGTGGGTAGTATTGGGTGGTTTTCCTTTTAATAAGAGTGAAAAAAGTTTATAAATTAATCTACCTGTGTATGATACAAGTTTAGGCTGGATACTAGAGTAATAAATGGGTTAAACAACTCACTCATTGCAACTTTTATTTGCTCTGTCAAATAAAATGTGTGGTCCTCTCTATGTTATGCTTGTCAGCACCCTTAAAATTCTGTTGACCGATTTAATCACCATGATCCCTTTTCAACATTTAACTGATAATAATTCAGCTTTGGGAAACATGTTTCATTATGATTTCCCTTTAAAAAAATTATTAAGATTTCTAGTTCAAGCAGGTTGAACACACCACACAGAAAGTATGAATTTCCAAATTCAAAGGGATTACTGAATGCCCAATACAATAGAAGAAATGGACATATATTGCATGACTTAGTGTTGTGGAATTTTGGAAACTGGGGACTAAGAAGAGACCCTAAAGCCTCTAGAGATTAAAGACAAACTTTATATGAATGAACGTTAGAATAAGACTTTTCAAACACAACACTGGAAAACAGAAAATTTTGGGAAAATGTCTTCAAATTATGATGAAAAATGATTTCTAACTTAGAATTCTATACCTAGCCATTTTATTACTAAGCATAAACTAAGGATAAACTAAAGCCTTTTTCATATACGCAAGATTTTAAAATATTTATCACTTATGTACTCTTTTCCAGGAATTACAGAGGATATGCTCTACAAAGCAAGGGAGTAAATATAGAGAAAAGAAGAAATGGGACTCGCTAGGATGCCAAAGAAGGACAGATGAAGGACTGTGCAGTAGCTGCCACGTTCGGGCTGGAAAGCGAACAGCATGAATACTCTGGAGAGGAATACCCAATGCCTTTGACTGTGCACAGAAAACTTTTAAAGCATAACCTCTGACCCACTTACACTGTTTCTAGGAGTCTACCTCAATGAAAGATCCCAAATACGAAGAAAAGTTTCATGTACAAACATCTCACTGCAACACTAGTTACAAAGGCAACGGACTGGAAGCAAGCTAAATGGGAGCTGTTAAATGACGACTCCCTTGCTTGCTACTCGAAGCTTGGACCTGGGACAGTACTGGTAAGATGGGGTCCTGCTGTAGAGTCACCCTCAGGGCCTGAGCTAGACCTGCTGAGATTTAAATCACCTGAGAAGCCCTGAAAGAGGCTAGAACTGTTATAATCATTAAAAAATAAGTTTACAATGATTGTGTAGTCAGATTATATCATAAATATTTTCCTTTGTTAAGTAGAAAAACAGCAGATAAAATGGTATGATTATAACTATGTTTTAAAATAACTGCACAGAAAACGTCTAGAATATAACACACTAAATGTGAACAGGGTTATTAGCATGGAAACTGGTAGGATTACTCCCAGTTTCTGTCCCAGGCCAGCCTCCTTTGCTTTCCTTCCTTGGAGCTCTGTCTGTCTGCATCTCAACTGCAGCTCTGGGATTTGCATTGCCTTTGAGTCCAGGCAGGAAACATGGGTGGAAAACAAAACAAAACAGGAAACTCAAGGGCTAGATCTTTCATACATTGCATTTTGGTTTCCTTCCTCCATCTGCTTGCTACCACTACCATTATTTTTTTTTTCTGAGACAAGGTCTCACTCTGTCTTACCCAGGCAAGAGTGCAGTGGTATCATCACAGCTTATTGCAATCCCAAACTCCTGAGCTTAAGCAATTCTCCTGACTTAGCTTCCCGAGTAGCTGGAACTACAGGCACGTACCACCACACACAGCTGATTTTCCTATTTTTTGTAGAGACGGAGTCTCACTCTTGCTCAGGCTGGTCTCAAACTCCTGGCCGTAAGCAATCTTCCTTTCTTGGCCTCCCACCAAAGTGCTAGGATTACAGGTATGAGCCACTGTGCCTGGCCTACCATTTACTTTTGAGTCCTGAAATAGCTGCTCCATATATCCTGCCCAGTGTCTTTCTTGGCTGCATTCAACGGGAAAGCATGGAGTACGCTGACTCCATTGTAACTGGAATTGGAACTTCACCTATCAGTAGCTTTTGAGTGTTTTTGAAAGCAGAGATACGTCAAGGGACTCTTACATAAAAACTTGCAGTGGACACTACAAAGCTATTACAAGAAAGTCTCATATCTACAATTCTATGTGAATATGGTCCCCCCCCCCAAGGTCATAGAAAACTAATTTCCAGTAAAAAATAAGCAATTTTCTTCAAATTCTAATGAATGGCCAAGAAATCAAGTAAATTGACCAAATCACTTAAGCAGTACTCAAGCACAGAAAGAAACTCAGAGCAGAAGGAGGGAAAGGCTTCTGAATGAAACACACCATCAGGTGCATTCAGAACCAATGAGCCTTGGTTATGAAATAGCAGGTTTCCCCGAACAATTTTCCAATGCTAATACAACGTGCTGATCACGGTCCATTCCCATCGCCCAGTTTGCAGATGCCGAGAACATTTGCTTTCTCAACTGCATTTGCAGAGCAAAAGCATTCCCTGCACTTTAGCTCCTCACTGGCAGAACAGGAGAACCCGGAACTAAAACCCATCAAATAATGCTGCACAAATAAGCATTCGGTATAGCTTTAATGAAAGGCTGAAAGTGAGTGCTAAGGAGCAAAAATGCAATCTAAAAGAATCCTTGACCCTCACTAATGCTATAGCTTAGAGCAGCCCTGTAAAGCCAGCAAGGTAGATCCTATTAGTCCTAGGCCCCAGTGTTGGAGCAGGGTCTGGAACCCGAGTCTCCTGGCTCCTTATATGTAATATGTGCAAAACAACATGGGCCCTGTGCACAGCCAGGCCTGCACAGGTTAGGTAAACCAGGAACTGTGTACACATAAAGTATTATAACTTCTCCTTCAGCAGGCTAGGCACCTTGCAGAAGTAATATCATACTATTCCAATGACCATGAATAGTCAGACATCCCTCAAAGTACTCATTCATTCATTCAAGGAAACTACCTACCAGGACAAATTATTTTGCCTTGTTCCTGAAGAACAGTCTTCCACCAAGACTGAAAGTTCATTATCAACCCTGAAATGCCAACAGAAGCTGCTCTTAAACACTCAGACCAAAGACCAGACCTGATAAAGGAATCAAGCATCAGAAGAAGGAGTCCTCATCAATCCACATCTCCAGAAGCCTACAACAGAGAGTCACGTGCTACACGCTGTGGCCTCCCTCCATGTCAACTCCCCAAATGGACTAAACAGCAAATCTAGGCCACTTTCCAAATTCCAACAGGCCCGTAGCCCTCCATAAGTTATGATATGTCTTTTAGCCTAAGCTTGAAGCCCCCGCTGGGAAGGTAAGGTGTCTGAAAGTGTGCCGAATGTTTCAGGTTTCACAGTAGCAAGGAGAGGCTCAAAGCCAACCCTTAAAATTTCTTCTGCCTCATTTTATTGTTACCTGGCTGGGCAGTAAAAAAAAAGGAGTGGTGAGGCAGCTTTACAAAATAAAACAATAGCTTTTGTTTGTATAGAGATTCCAACTTTTTAACAGCATTTTCTCATCAATTATCTCACTGTATCCTCCTCACACACCTGGCAGCTGGCGAGTACAGATGCTACTACGTCACGCCATTTACCAGGGAGGATACGGACCAGTACATGAGGTCACACACAGTCACTCCGGATCCAAACCCAAATGTCTTACTTCAGAGCCAGTCTTGCCTTTGGGTTCCTAGAAAAAGCCTATTGTTGCAAACACCTTTCCAAACAACAAGGACAATGTCCAAGGCTGGATAATGTCTTCGGGTTCGCTTTTTGTTGTTGTTTTAATAAAATTTCATTATTTTTACATATGTCATTTAAATACATAGTTGAATAGCTAAATAGTATTTATTCAATATTCACAAAAAGACCTAGTTTCCATTTAAATCAAACTTGTGCATCTCTATAAAAGTTATTTCTAGAGAACTCTTCCACAAACAAATTGTACATTTTCTACCTTCTTCCTTCTTAAACAAGGTGTTCTCAATTTGATGTTAATTTGCTTGCTTTATATTATGTTGTGTTGGTCTCCAAATTCATTTTTACAGGAACAACGAGCATAAATCTAATCCCAAACTCTAGTTTAAGGTTAACCAGATAGGTGGCTCTGGACAAACCATTTTACCCAGACTAGCCTCAGTTTTCTGAACACTTTCTTATCCTCAACCTCTACCCTCTAAAGCAAGATAACATTTATAAAAGCGAGTGCTAAAATATATAACAAATGTAAGGCAACATTACTATTACGAAGTTAGGTCAATCTTTTGGGGGTTCTTTTTTTTTTTTTTTTTTTTTGAGACAGGCTTGCTCTGTCGCTTGGGCTAGAGTGCAGTGGCATCAGCCTAACTCACAGCAACCTCAAACTCCTGGACTCAAATGATTCTCCTGCCTCAGCCTCCCAAATACCTGAGACTATGGGTGTATACTGCCAAGCCTGGCTAATTTTTTCTATTTTTTAGTAGAGTTGGGGTCTACACTCTTGCT